ATGTTAGTACATTTCCATACTAAAAAGCCAAAAACAAAGAAAAACCCTATTCAAATTAACGCTCTCAAATCTTTTTAATGCTAACCTAATACCTACACAGCTTTCTTCTTTTTAAATCCCTAGAAATTCTATTTGTACTACTACATTTTAACAATTACTATCTTACTTTGCTATTTCAAATTAGCATGGATCTACTTACCTTCCTACAGAAAGGAGTATACAGCACAGTACTTCCTATAAAGGCAACTTGTTCATTCAACAAGATCACTTGCAATTGCCAAATATGGACCAGACACTCTTCCTAATGCCCAGGATACAAGCACCAGGTCTCTACATTCAGAGTCTCAGCCTAGTAGAATACAGTTAGATGAGCTTCTCTAGATGAATCAATCAGTCTCAGCTATTCCTCTGCTGAAAAACTTTTGTTGGCTTATCACCGCATGACAAAGTTAAACTTCTCTACCTAGAACTCAATTCAGGTTCATTTTGGTCCACATATGTCTACTTTCCAGTTCCCCAACCTTCCCAGCATTATTTCCCAATATGCTTTATCCTAAGCCTGGAAAATTCTATCAAAATCCTTCCACAGATTCTACCACCAATCTTTTCAAGGCCCATTCTATACTTTCATAAAGCACCCCTAGTCAGTACATTCTTCCTCTAAACTGGTTTATATCAATTCCTTCAGCAGTTAAAAAGACACACCCTGTATCTCATAGCCTTGAAAAATGTTCATTAAACTCAGTGCCTTGCCTACACAAAATGCTACACTAATTATCCTACTTACTTAATTATTGTGATGCTTACACCTAATCACTTCTGATTTGGGGACGTTAGTTTTAAAAGGAATTCAACTCCTGTCTCAAAAATCAGTTGTTTTGAGTGTTAAACTACAGATATTCCTGAATGTCTCAGAGTTCCTCCCTTTTGGAAATGCTATAGGAAAAGAAGGAATCCAATGTCCCCGTAAGTAATAAATTATTAGGGATAATCTATTTCTAAGTATCTACTGGAATAAAAAGCACTAGCATTCCACTTACCATATTGTAGTTTAAGTAGCTACTTATTAACCTATCTTTCCGATCAAACCTCAAAAGCATGGATATCATGTCTTACTCATCTTTCTATATCCTAAGTCTAACAGCCTGGCACACTCAGGGAATCAAGAAATGCTCTCTCAATTAATGAATGAATTCCATCTTAGGTTAAAATATATTCAAAAAGCCAAGAGCCTGTTAAAAAGTAATGGAAAGAGGTTAAACAATACATTCAAATGTTAACCACCTGTTAAAAAGTAATGAAATGTAGAAGTCACATGCTTGGGGGGGATTTCAGTACTAGGGATTGAATTCAAGGTCTTCACACTAACTCCCCAATCCTTTTCTATTTTTTATTTTGAAACAGGGTCCTGATAGACTGCCCAGTGCCCAGTCTGGGCTTGAAACTGGCAATTCTCCTGCTTCCACCTAGAAGTGTGCTGTGATTAAAGATGTGTTTTTAAGCAGGTCAAGTGCAGTCTATTTACATTTTCTTTTCTTAGAAACATTTCTATGGAACTCATATTAAGTGTCCTAAGAAATTGGGCTGGGGATATAGTTCAGTGGTAGCATACTTACTTGCCCAGCAGACACTAGGCTGTTTGATCCCCAATACCACAAAAAAACAACAAAAAAAGAGATCTATCCCTAGTCTTACCATATTTTCTACTTCTTGGATGGGGCTAAAAATGTGATAGAAATCCTTCCCTGCATCTCTATCAGCTCTCTCCAGGTTCACTGCCTCAGTTTCAAGTGGTTCCTGTTTTTTTAACCATTCACTGGGCCCCACCCTCAAAACACAATTGTACCAAGGAATGAGTTTCACAATGAGCATTGAGGGCACATATATACTTGAATCTGTTTCCAACATTTATAAAGAGATACTGTTGAAATTAAATATCACCATGAAAAGATATAAGTACTGCACACAAAGTGATAAAATGTGTGTGTATATATATATTATATATATATGTATGTATATATGTATTTATATAAAATTCAGGCTATCTGAAAATTAACTTCTGGTAATGGAATATGAGAAAATGAAAAAAAATGAAAACAAGGTCTTTGTAAATAGGGAGGGGTGGAAGGGATGAAGGGAGGGCAGGGAAATGGGAAAAATATAAGAACCAAAATAAGATTATGTATAGGTACAAATTTCTAATCATGAATGTTATACTGTACACCTAAACTGTACCAATAAAATTAATTTTAAAAATTAACTGCTGGTATGAAACTGTCTTATGTTATACTGTGTACAGTATACTTTTTTTTTGTTGTTGCTGTTGTTGTTTGTTTGTTCTGGTACCGGGGATTGAACTTGGGTCGGTCCTTGCACTTGCAAGGCAGGTCACCAAACCGCTGAGCTAAATTCTGGGCCTCCAGTATACTGTTTTTTAATAAGGTTATATATATAGGATACTGACACCAAGGGAAAATTATTTATAATTAGTGGACTATTTGGCAAAAAGGGAGCATATGCTAACAAAAATGTTAGTTATATTATAATCTTTTATACATTGCATCTCTAGAAAATGCAGCTTTAGACAAAGCAGCTTTGAAAAGCATAAGCAAAACAGTACCAATATTCATCATTCCAATGACAAGAGTAAAACATACCTCAAATTGACGTAAAGTTTATCAATAATCTGAATATAACTAAACTGATAATGAAGGCTTAACACAAAGAAACCAAAAAATTTAAAAATTCTAAACAAGGAACCTTATCTCTGCTTCTATCAACATGGTCAAAGAGTAATTTGTGCTCTTTAAACAAGCTTTCTTCAAAAGAATGTTTAAAAAGAAAAGAAGGTGTGCTTTTTTAAAATCTACCTCCAAAGATAATTAGGAACACATAAAAACATTTATGAGAAAGAATGTTTACAGGAAATTATTTTTCATATTAAAAAAACATACAGGTCTGGGGCTTTAGCTCAGTGGTTCCACCGCCTGCCTTGCAATTCCGGTGACAAAAAAAAAAAAAAAAAAAAAAAAAAAAAAAAAA